AATAATAATAAAAATAAAAATATAGCCAGTGCGACACAAAACAGCAACAACAGGCTTATGTACAAATTGTTTATCATTTCTCTGTAGCGATCCTCAAAACAACCAATAAAAAAACAGTTACCAATTTAAAAAAAAAGTAAACATACCAAAAAAAATTTTAAATCCCCTTCTTGGAAGCCCTATACAGGTAGGGTCACTATGAGCCAGAATTGACTCGATGCCAGTGGATTGCTATTGCAAAGGGCCTGTTCAGAGTGGCTTCTGTCCTCTAATTGGTCTTATGGTTGGTGTGCCTCGCTGGAGTCACAATAGGTACAAATCACGGACTATTTGCTAAGCTGTTTCATCTGTGCCGCAGCACCGCTCTGGCCAATGCAGAGAACACAGCGAATAAAATGCTGACGGTGCATTTTCAAGTCTCTCTTCGGAAGGACCTGTGAAGGTGTGTGTGTGTGGGGGGGTGGGTGTGGGTGTGGAGAATCCTCTCTGGGGTACAAATCTCCGCACATCATTCCAGAGCGCTCAAAGGTGCTTAAAGCTCCTCTGGCCCAACTGTACTTTTTTTCAGGTCACAAAACCAACCGAGAAGGATGTTTGTGGGGGGTTTTTTGGCCCTAGGTGGCCCACTTGCTTTGGGGGAGGGGGAAGAGGGGACTAAAATGTAAAAGCCACGTGCTCTTTCTACTTTTTTTCCCCTTCAATTGCTGCTGGTGGGGAACCTCCCAGGTCAACGCAGGTACTTTCTCCCTTGCAGGCTGGCAACGCCAACCCTGGGGCGAACCAGACCATCAACCTGAACCATTATGCCACCAAGAAGAGTGTGGCAGAGAGCATGCTGGACGTGGCCCTCTTCATGTCCAATGCCACGCGGCTGAAAGCGGTGCTGGAGCAGGGGCCATCCGCTCATTACTACACGCCCCTCATCACCCTCCTCAGCATCTCCCTGCTGCTGCAGGTGGTCATTGGCATCCTCCTCGTGGTCATAGGTGAGGAGCTCAGCGGTGGCCTTCAGCGCCCCCCGGAGGCAGGAGATAGCCTGGGCCCCCCCTCCCTACAGAACACTGTGTATCTGCCTGCCAGCAGAAGCTAAGTTGGCATTGGGAGCCCTTGGGTGGTGCAGACCATTACTAGTCCAAAGCTTGGCAATTGGAACCCATCCAGAGAGGTCCCCGAAGACAGAGCCAGTAATCTGAAAGGTTACAACAGCTCTACTCTGCACGCACGGTGTCACCCGGTCTCAGAACCCACTCAAGAGCAGCTGACAAGCGTCCTCCACGTCCACAAATGCCCAAATGCCAGTTCCTAGACAGTGAGGAGTCTGCAGTCCTACCTCCTGGCATTTTATAGCTTGCCCCCGCCCCCCTAAAGACGACCTGTGGAATGACTGCCCTGCCTTGTGCCAGAGTTTCCTCATAGCCCGTTCTGCTCTGTGAGCACATTTATTTCCACCGTTGGAGCCCGGGGGGTGTAGGGGTTACCTGTTGGGCTGCTACTAGCCACAGGGTCGGCAGTTCAAAACCATCAGTCAGCTCCACAGGAGAAAGACGAGGCTTTCTACTCCTGTATAGAGCTACAGTTTTGGAAACTAAGGGGGCAGTTCTACCCTGTCCTCTAGGGTCAGTATGATTCAAAATTAACTCGGCGCAAGTGAGTTTGTTTATTTGAGGTAGATGACCCAGTGTAAGTTCCCAAATCCACACTCTAATAAGAACCATGTGGGGCTGTTCAGTGAGAGCAAAAGACACCTCAGCCCAGTGCCTCCCCAATCCCTGCCCCACCTTGCTTTCTACCACAGCTTGTCTCCAAACTCCAGTGGATGTCACGAGGGAGCTCCAGGCTGAGGCCCTCGCCCTTACCTCCCATCTCCCCCTCTCCGCAGCGCGACTGAACCTGAACGAGGTGGAGAAGCAGTGGAGATTAAACCAGCTCAACAATGCCGCCACCGCCTTGGTCTTCATCACTGTTGTCATCAACATCTTCATCACGGCCTTTGGGGCACATAAGACAGGGGCCCTGGCTGCCAGGGCCTCAAGACATCCTCTCTGAACAGAGCCTGGGGTCCAGGTGAGGGAGAAGGATGGGATGCCTTTCAGGGTGGTTGGGGTGAGAGACTTTAGAACGGGGGGGGATGAAGAGGTGATCTTGGAGAAGCGCTTGGATTGACTCAGAAAGCATGCCAGAGCCCCCTCATGGTCTGTAAGTGGCTGGCTCTCCTCCAGTTTGGGGTTTCTCTATAGACTTGGTGGTGGTGGGGAGGAGTGGCTGTGTCGTGGGGCAAGAGAGCTGGAAGCCTGGAGGAAGTTCCTCCGTGGCTTGGTCCAGCATCCTGATGACTCGAATTGTGGCCCATGGGCCAGCAGTATCAGCCACCACCACATGAAAGGTTGAAAACGCACCACCTCATTGACATTGAGGCCCCTCCCCAGAGTGAAGATGGCCAGGTGAATCGTGTGCGCATTCAAGTTTGAGGAGCCCCGTCCTCTCATGGCCCCTGTGTTTCTCCTGCAGGTACCGAGCCCTGAACTGCTTCCACCTCCTTCCTCCTGGATCTCCTAGGCTGCTGAGCACAGCCCCCTGAGAGCTTCTCAAAGGGAAATGCAGATCCTCTTGCTCTCTCCCCAAAAGCATCTGAGTTACGAGTTGATACTTTCATTCAGCGAATTCCATCTTGGTCTGGAGAGTTGAGCTCCCGCCCAGGTACTGCCAATCTTTCCCTCGTGGTCACAACTCCCGAACCGCGGGCACATGAGAAGCACCAAATCTTCCCGGTTTCAGATGCTACTTCTGACTTACCCCACCCCTTCACTCTGCTTCGTGTCTTTTACTTTCTGTGAAATGGAATGATTTCTGTCTATAAAGTTTTCAGCAACTCCATGGTGAGTCAACCTGTATGTCTTCAGTGGCGAAGGTCCAGCCATCAGGGGTGGTGTCTGAAGACCCCTCTCCACCCGGGTCCTGGGAAGGGCTCTGAGAAGCACACCCCAGCCTTTAAAATCACCCCTCTCCTAGGGCCCAGCTCTGATTCAACCTACCTTAGACCCACACACCTTTGGCTAATTATCATCTGCTATAACAATTCCACTCTGGTCACTTCTGGATTGGTGGGTGCATCTACACAGTCTCCTTCCAGAATCTACTATAAGCCTACTCTAGCTTTCACATTTACACATTCTCTTAAACATGTGGTTAAGGAATGCAGACTAATTATGATCTCTGCCTAGGCAAAATAGAAGTAGGAAGGGAAATTTGCACCTGTAAAACCGCACAGGCAGCCCCAGCTCAAAGGTAAATGATTCAATTGCCTACTTATTTTAGACTAAGTCATGCCTTGGCTCCTCTCCACTGCTGTCTGGCCTTCGCCTAGGGTGGCGGTTCTCAACCTGTGGGTCGAGACCCCTTTGGGGCTCGAATGACTCTTTCACGGGGGTCGCCTGATTCATAACAGTAGCAAAATGACAGTGATGAAGTAGCAACAAAAATACGTTTATGGTTGGAGGGTCACCACCACATGAGGAACTGTCGGAAAGGGTCTGAGGAAGGTGAACCACTGCCTAGGGTATCCAGAATTCTCTCTGCTGGAACCATCGGTCAGAAAATGCCTGCTCTCCTATGTAACCGTGAGCGCCTAAGACAGGAAGGTCCCTTCCAGTGCTCCCACAGGCTGTACAGGGTCGTGGGTAGCATGGATGGGAGTGGATGTGGCATGCCGATCAGGTGCCTGCCTGGCAGCGGAAGGGCAGAGATGTGATACTTGCGCCCCCAGCCCAACCCTCTCCCACGATGCAAGATGACAGGAACACACACTAGAGCCATTTTTCTAAGAAGATACTTTATTTAACCCCCCTATCCCCACCCCCTCCTCCCTCTCCCCTTCCCTCCCCAAACCCAAGGCTTTTTCCCTACAGAGTGGAGGCCCAGGCAGGCCCATCCCTTTAAGGCAGATGGTGCAGAGATAACAAACATCAAACACAAGGCACTGGCCCAGGGACAGAGGGGCAATGGGTGGGCAGGGCAGAGGGCAGGCTGGGCTGGCTCATCAGCAGGTGAGGGGGCTCTTTGGGCTGTTGCAGGCTTGCCGATGCTGCTGCAATGCCCCAAGATGAAAGTGCCCCCACAAGGAAACCTGGGTCCCACCAGGTGGCTCACCTCCTACTGCCCTTAAGCCCCTTCTAGAAGGCAACGAGCCCGAGTAGAGATCATAAAAAGCCAGGGCCCAGGGGTCCAGCCTGGCATCTGTAAGCCATACCTAGTCCTGACTCCTGAGAGGGAGACAGGGTTTCTCCCACAGAAGGTGCTCACGCAGCTCCGTTCTTCCTTCCGCCAAGGTGATTAAGCTCTTGGTGGGTGTGGAGCCCGGTAGACCCTGATGCTCCGAATGCTGTGCATTGGGTTATCACAGGATGGCGCGCTGCTCACTATCTAATGGCCCTGCTGCCCCTCACCATCCTGCACAGCAGAGGCCCTGAGCTCACCCCACTGAACAGACCCTGGAGTTCAAGCCCCAGCATCCAGTGCACCATTGGTGAATTCAGCAGCAATAGAGGCAGCAGCGCAGCAGTAGAAAAGTCCCCAGCCACAAAGGCACCTGGGGATAGTTAGTGCAAGATAAGTGTGTGGTCACCAGGTGGGGTAGTGAGGAGAGGGGAGGTGGCAGTAGACTATGAAGGTCAAGGGTTTTTTTTTTTCCTTTCCCTGAAATGGCTTCTCTCCTCATGTCCTCTTGTCTTGTCCCCTTCTCCCTTCCACTTGGAGATGCCCACACCTCCCCAACCTTCTCAGCTTGCCCCTCCCCGCCCTGCCGCCTGGCTCACGGCACCACCCAAATGTTTCTTCTTCTCCCCTCAAGGCACAGGTGCAGTACATTCCTCTCAACAGCAGCCAGCCCAGGCAGGAGGGCAAGTCCACAGGGGTGGGTGCTGGGCAGCGGAAGACTGCTACATGTTTCCCACATGCCTTTCCATCCTTCCTGTCTGCCGCTGCCCCTCGCCTCATCTGAAGGGAGCCAGTGAATGGAAGGACCCCTACATCGGTGCTCCCTCATCTTCACGTTGTCCCGTGAGGCTGAACCTCACAGGCAAGCTATGAGAGGAGAGGGGCGCCCCTCCCCTGCTGCTTTGCTCTGCCCTTTCCACAGTCGAGTCCTGTGTGCCACACGTGGGTGGAGGAAGAGCCCGGCCAGCTGTCCACCCTCCCCTCCTCCCAATGCCCCTGTCGCACTAGATAGATGATGTCATGTTCTGTGATTCTGGTCCATGTGGCGTGAGCTCCGCCTGGAGGGTCAGGGGAGTTTCTGTGACTCCCTGGGAGAGGAGTGGTGTGTGTGTGTGTGTGTGTGTGAGATTCTGGAAGGCACGGGCATGGGGAGAAGTGAGCCCCACTACCCGTGGGGCCAGCCCGCCACACAGGGGTGCGTCTGAGGTATGCACGCGGGGTTCTGTCTGGACGCACTGCTCCAGCTGCAGCCACTGCTAGGTGTGAGAGGGACTGGGCAGCTACAGTTTTTGGGTTTTCAGTAAAAAAAAAAAATTCCCCATAAAACATGTCCAAAAGAAGTTTCCAGTCCATGGTCTAGAGTCCTTGTGAGGCGCCCTGGGAGGCAACCTCGTGGATAACGTGGTCTCGCTCCAGTGCTTTTTCCTCCCTCCACCTCCTTGTCCTGTCTTTGTCAGGAGCTGATCCATCTCTGTCGGCTGTGGCAGCCCCCTCCCCCGGCCCCTCTCCCAAAGCCCTCCCCTCCAGAGGCCCCCCTGGAGAAGGGGATGGTGACAGCTCTCTCTGAGTGAGGGGACAGCCCCCCGCCCGTGGAGTGTCTTAGCTCTGAGGCTTCCCAGGGGAAGCCTTTGCCCTTTTCCTGTCTGTCCGTCCATCCTTCGCCAGCAGAGAGCCGGGACCCGGGGGAGCAACTGCAGCACCGAGCCAAGGAGCAGGAAGTGGTTGGTCCAGCGGGCCACGGGCGGGGGCTACGATGTCCTCATCTGGCGGCGGTTCCACATGCCTCGCTTCGAGTGGAAGTGATGGAAGAAATTCCTGAGGGACAGACGTTCCACTTCCAGGCCTGCTTGGAGGATCCTGAATGGGAGGAGGGCAGAATGAGCCAAGCTAAGCAGAGAGGCCCCAGGGAAGAAGCATAGGCCCCGAGGAACCTGCCCTTCCACAACTATGTGGGAGCCTGTCCCTTTCCTCCCCAGTCCACTATCCGCTGGGCAGGGGGGAGGAGTGAAGTAGAGAGTGGGGTTGAATTCGACTCAGTGACTTCGTAGCTATGTCAGCAGTGCCATTGTCTGCTTGTCTCTAGAAAGAGAATACTGTGAACCATGAGCGGCCACAGATTTTATACACACGAGGTGACCAGTAACTGTGGTTCAGGCTACAGCGTTTGATGCAAGTGCTGGGTGGGAGCAGGAGACCGGCCTTCCCGCTCCTTCATCACATGGGCAGCACTGGGAGGTCTCTCACGGGGCTGGGGGCAAGCTCTATCCGAAGGCCCAGTCTGGCCTGAAGACCCTGGGTGGCAAGAACAGCAGACCAGGCTTCCCAACCCATGGCTTCAGTCCACTCTGGGCTCTCTTCCGACTGGGCTTTAGGACACCTGGATTAACTGATAGAACACCTCCAATTTCCCCCTTGCTGCCTTCAACTCCCATAGCGGTGCCATCTCCCTTTCCTTCCTTCCCTTTCGGCCCCAAAACAAACAAACAAATGAACAGACCTGGTTGATACGGCTGACACTTCCTCGTTTTAAGATTTGGAGTCAGTTATTAAACTTCTCTTCCAGACTCCGTTTTCTTACCTGAGAAATGGAGGTGCTTACATCTACCTCCCGGAGCTTGGCGGAGGGCAGGGGAGCAGTCAATGAGGCGCGGTGTGGTTGGGGCTGAGTCCGTCTGGCTCAGGGTGCAACCACGAAACAGTGCACCGTCCTCACAATCACTGCTGTGCCTGAGCTCATGGTGGGGGCCACGGGGTCAGTCTAGCTCCCGGAAGATCTCGGTTTTGATAACCCTGTACCCAAGATGATGGCCCCAGGGACTAGCCACTCCCGGCCACATGTCTAAAGGATGTGAGACAAAGTCTCACTACCTGCGCTTCCAAGGAGCATGCAGGTCGTACTTCTTCCAAAACGGGTCACCCTGCTCTCCCCGTGTACATGAAGTGATTGCAAGCACCCTGGCTCAGGTGTTGGAGGAACACCTTAGACCTCCAAGTGACACTGAGGCCTTTGAACACTTCCAAGAGGTGTTTTGCAACAGATTTGCCTAATGCGACATCGTTCTTTGATAATGAGGGAAGAGATGAGACACTCATTGGCTCTCTCTGGAGCTGTTTCTCAAGAAGTGTGTTGCTTCCTCATCGGGGCCACCCCACCCCTACCCCCCGCCCCCGGCCAGGTGCTCCTGACCTTGTCTGCCTCCTCTCAGAACCTTGCCACAAGGAGACGTCTTGTTGGACCTCTCTCTCTCATCTGTTCCCCTCAAGATACGATCTGCCTCCCCTCCTCTTGGTGGTAAAGTGATGAAAGCAGACTCTCATCCTGCTGTCCCCACTTCCTCACTGTCCACACCTCCCCACACCTCACGCCACGTCCCACACTGCCTCCCGGTGAGTACACTTCCTGCCCACCTGCAGGTCTGGGGCTCTACACCCCACCGGCCACTTCCTCCTCCTCCCCACCTCTTCTCCCTGGGCTTCCAGGGACCCGGCTGGGGGTCTCGCTGCCCTTTAAGGGCCCACCCAGTCTCTTTTGCTGACTCCCTGCCTGGGGTCAGTTATCTGGGCACCCATCTTCAGCCGCCACCTCTGGGCTACTGCGGAGATGAGGGGAGCTGCTCCTGACTTGGGAGAATGTCGGCGTAGTTGCACAGAGCGTGTGCCTGGTGCTGAGAGCATGATCCCGGAAGTCCATACTGCTCGCAGGTTTTGTTTTTCCCGTCAGTCTACCAAATACTTCTTGACACCTTGGATTTCTGCACCAGCCCTGTGACACAGGTCATCCTCCCTAACAGATTAAGAACGCAGTCCCTCCCTGTGAGCTGCATTTGACCCCCATGAAGCGGGAGGCTCCCCCAGTTCATTGCTCTTCTCACAGCATCTGGCTGGCCTCCTGGGCTGGTCCAGCCCCATTCCCTCCCCGAGGCCCCTGATGGGAAAGAATTCCAGTCCCAGCTCTCGATGTCCTCTTTTCCCCATCACCTGTCCAGCAGCTCCCAGTCCTCCCCGCCCCAGCGGTCTCGAAACTCCTTGGTGTTCATGCCCCCGATCCTGTCCAGGTCTGACTTGTAGATGCCGAGCAGTCCGAATCCGTTCACCTCCCAGTAGCCTGTGGGCAAATGAGAAGAGGGCTGGGCTGAGCCGAGCCGTGCTCGTGAGGCTGGAGGGTGGCGTGAAGAAGCCTGTGGGCTGGTGTGGGCTCCTGGATGCACTTCTGAAGGAGGGACGCCATGGGGGCCCCTGTGGGAGGGAGATGGTCAGCTGGAACCGAGGACTGTCTTAGTGAGAGAACAAAACAAATCCTGGTCTGTTTGGGGGAGATACCCCCATGCTGAGATCCAGTGGCCAGCAAAAACACAGGGGTGACCACAGGCTAATGCTGAAGCTGGGAATGTTTGCTGCTGCCATCACCGGGGCCCTGTCTGATGAGCAGAGGCAGCGGGAGCTGGGGCTGCCGGGAGGAGAGGTTGGCACTGGCAGACACGAGGCTCTGAGGCTGAGGGCCATGGCCAGAGAAGTCTTCCCACCCTCCGTAGCCCAGGGCAGGGCTCACCCTCTGGCCACTGGGGGGTGGCTCCACAGTGCAGCCTCATCACCATGGGGGCAAAAGCCATCTTGCCCTCCACGCAGTGCTTCCGGATGGCATCAACAACTCCGGCTGGAAAGTGGATGTGGAGGTCACAGAGGAAGATGATGCTGTGTGCGTCCTGGGGACAGACGGGGGCTGGGTCAGCAGGCCCTAAAGACCCGAGTTAGGAGAGCAGGTCACCTGCTCGGACAATCCCCCGACTCTTCCCCCTTTTTGGAATGACTGACAGACAGCCCTAAAGCTGACTGTTGGGAGGAATACCACAGCCCTGGACACACCAGAGCATAGTTTGTACCGATGGGGTGGATTCTGAGCTGCCCGCCCTGCCGTTCCTTAGGAAACCCTCACCCTCTGGATAACTGCGTGTGCGCCCCACCAGCCCCAGCCCAGTGTCCCTCTCTGCTGGCCCTGCATACGGACAGGTCCTCCCGCCCTGTGTTCTATCTTCCTCCCCCAAGAGCTGACCCCACTGCACACCCTGACGTCTGCCTTTCCCAGCCTTGAATCACACACACCTCCTAGGCCACGCACCTTCACCAGGTCAATGCCAGCCTGCAGCCCAGCTGAGCGCTCAAAGTTCCCACTGAGCTTCATGTACTGGTAGCTGCGGGGAGACGACAGGTGAGGGGGCTGGGGATGAGGACCGAGGAGGTGGAGGGGCCGTTGCTGCTGGTATCTGGGGAGGTGAGTTCTCGGAGAAGGAATCAGGAGGTGAGGTGGAGGGCTGTCTCCGCACCAGATCCGGCAGCCCCGGGACCCGTGGCAGGTGGCAGCCCAGGCAAGGGAGAGGCCCTGGCCAGGCGCCCACATCTCACCTGCGCAGCTTGGACCTCTTCAGTGCCTTCTCCACATCCATGTCCTCGCTGCTGTAGTCGGTGATGACGATATTGAAGTGTGGGTCTCCGGTGACCTGGAACAGCGTCTCCATGTCCCTGATGAACTGCTGCACCCAGCGCGCCTGGTTCTTCACTACCTCGGTGGGGGGAGGGGGGCAGCAGAGGGCGACAACGGTGAGCACCTCTGCTCGAGGGTCATGGGGAACTGGGTGCTCTGCTTAAGGGGTGGGGCAGCAGAGACGTGAGCGAAGAGGAAGGACCTCGGGCTGAAGCTCATCACCAGAGTTCGGCTCTCACCAACAACCCCAAGCCCTGCCGTCTCGCTATCATCTGCGGTTGCCTGTGCCGCCTCCTGGCCGTACCCCCGCTGCCGGGTTCCTCTTCCTGTGAACCACCACCCCGTCTAGTGCCCCTGGACCAGTTGGAACCACAGTCTGACTAGCGCAGTCTATTGGGGATTCATACGGCTCT